TATACAGGCCAAAGCAGAATGCCTGGCTTGCTTTTGTTACAACAGCAGCAGCAGCAGCAGCACCAAAAAACTCAGGCATTTGTGTGCATAGAGCTCACGCAGACATTTCGCCCTGAATCTCCCCAACATCCTTCCAGTTCAGCTAGCTTGAGGGTGACTGCACCATGCCAGGTGTCCTGTGCCAGACCCTTTGACTGCCATTCCTTTTAACCCTTCTGTCCTCCTCCAAGTAGGTACAGTTACGCTCATTAAAGGTGAAAACAGTGTTCAAACAGAACAGAGTTAAGACAAGAATCTTTTGGCTTTCAAGGCTCCTGTTAAGACACAAAAACTGGTTGCCAGATGGGTTTCAAGGAATGTGACAAATGACCAGCTTCTGCGTCTAGCACAGTGAGCTGAGCGGGGAGGGGAGAGCAGGTTTCCAGTTCCTGGTCCCCGCTCTCTCACCACACCGCCTGCTGCCACCCAAAGCGCAGGGTTTTCCCAAGAGGTGTTTGGATGGGGTTCCAGTTAGTGAGATGCAAATAGGTCTGACCCACATTCCAGCGCCTGGATAAATAAAACCTTCTAAAGGGCAGAGCCCATTTCATGTGCTTTATTTGAGAGTCCCACTGTGCCCAGTCAATATTAAACAATTCCAGGTAAATTTGCCAGGGACTAACGGTATGGACTCCACTAAAATACTGGAAACAGCCCTGGGGACCCGCGAAGGAGCCAAAAGCCTGGATCAAGCAGTCATAGGGTTTCACGTGTGTAAACACCCTTTGAAGTCACATAGTCCAGCTTTAATTTTACAAGTGGGATCCAGAGATAAAATAATGTGCGTTAAGAGCTGGAAGCCAACCAGCAGCAGACCGCTCCTCCGTCTCCCTGGCCTCTCCTACTTTACCTCACATGGCATCGGATGGTAATATTGTCATAAGCTGAAGCAGGGTTGGCCGGTTATAAAGCCATCACTGATTACTAAAACATCTCTCAGGTTAAAATTTTCCTTATCTGGCCAACAAAATTGACCTTGAAGAAGTTCCTGTCGCTGGCCGTCAAGTCCAGCCAAGCTGGTGTCTGGGATTGCTACTTAACAAACATTACCTTTGGCTTCCCAACTTTTTCAGGTACTGCTTCTCCCTGTCTGGGCGCCCTCTAAGGTCTCCCTCCACCACCCTGCATTACTCACATCCTCCAAGAAGGTTCTCTGCTGACTGCCTTCCCCATTAATGCTTATCTTGCTTTGATTTGTACAGTCAGTTCCATTTCCTTCCTATCATAAAAACATTTGTTTATTGTCTGGTTGTTTCTGATATCTGCAAAGGACAGGATCAATTATTTCTACTTGTTTTTTTACTTTTCATATTGTTTAAGACAATACCGTGAACTAATCTTTGTTAAAAGGAAGAAATTTAACTTCACGATGCCAGGGAAACTTCATTTTTGGTGGAAAAGGAAATACAAATAACATTTATTTCTCAAGGTGATTCTGATTTGGGGATTGTGGTGTTGGGGACTGAACCCAAGGCCCTCCTACTGAGCTACATCCTAGTCCTCTCTTACTTTCTGTTTTCAGACAGGGTCTTGCTAAATCGCTAAGTTGCTCAGGCTAGGTGCAAACTTTAGATCCTTCTGCCTCAGCCTCCAGAGCACTGGGATTACAGGGATGCAGTGTCACCATCAGCTAGTTATTTGGATTTCTCAAAGACTCTTACATGTCCGTGGGTTTATAAGGCAAGTTCAGTGGCTAGTCCTCATACAGAAATATTGGTTCCGTGGTTTTCGATCCTGGATGCTGGGTTGAATCAACTGGGAAGCTCTTAAAATTATGGGTACTCAGGCCTCAGTACAGATCAACTGAATCAGATTTTCAAAAGAACGCAAGATGGTTTCACATATCACAGTGTTGATTGTTGGTCTGCACAACCTCTCTCATTAGTATAATTTTTCTAAAAAATGAGCATATTCAAATGTGGTTTTGCTGTTTTCAAATCACAGCATCTTGGAATTGAGAACTACGACATCCGGACTGACCCTGCGTTTTACAGCGGCCCCACACCGTGAGGGGTGGCTCCAGGGCACAGGTCCTAGCCTGTGTTACTGGGATTCTCTGAGCTGATTCAGAGCCTGTCAGTAGCCCAAGCTGCTTAATTTCGGAATTTCCACTTCTAAAAAAAATATACAAAAGGTATTGCTTGTGAAGAACAGGATTTTAAAGGGAGCTAGCAGAAAGCACTGCTTAAAGACCTTCAGTCTGGTGCATTCCAGCTAACCCGTTTTCACGGCGAGAGGAAACTCCGCAGCAGGGCACGCCAAAGTCCAGAACAAACGTGCTGTGGCGGGTCAGTGCCTAGTAGCCTTCTTCATTACCTAACCTGAAAGTGTGTAACACTTTTTCCCATAACACTTTTTCATAGCTAACACTTCTTTCCCATTGTTTTCAGAATCCAGGGCACCTCTAGCCCTTGGCTATACCACTTATTAGGAGACTTTCTTGCTTACCAGCAAGCTAATCAACACCCTGAACTTCCCTTTGCTCTGCAAAAAAGAAGATAGTGCCTGCCCCTTTGACCTCACAGTTTTCAGCTATTAGGAGGGTTAAATCAGATAATCCAAAGCCACTATTTTGAGAACTGAAAGCACTATCCATATACCATATATGTATACCATTACATTACTACCTAGCTTTTGACTGCTTATGCTCTAACTCCTTAATTCCGCGTACCATGCCCTGTAAACCACCAGGAACCGGAGGGAGCGCTGAGTGGCTCTGCTCACTGGAAGTATCACATAACTAATAGTTAGGGAGGCGCCGTGCTGCAGCAGCTGCTCAGGGCTCCAGTTCCAGAGCCGGCTCCTAACTACTGACTTTGGACAAGCCTCTTAATTCTTCTGGGACAAGAGTCTTGTCAGTGGTCAATGGATGACTTAAATTAGAATCAAAGATCCTTTGATTTATAAAATCGGAATATTAATGCTTAAAGTTACTAAGGTGCAACTTCCCGAGTCATTAATTCATGTGGTTCGCATAATTTTTAATCTTTGTAGACATGTAAGATCGGGCAGACATTTTCAAAGATGTGTAGTATCATTTAAAAAAATATTTTTCTATTGTGATTTTATGCTTGCTGGTATCCTCTCCAAGGGAGCTTTACTCCAAAAACAAATAGTTACGCAAGAAAAGCCATTAATACAATACTGGACACAGCCTGGACATCCAAATACTTTAATAGACCTTAGTTTGAGTCCCAGTTTGTGTTTTTTAACTCTGTTTTCTTATCCATAAAGTGGGACAAATACCTCTTCAAGATTGAGATTACGTCTATTAAAATATTTCATAAACTGCAAGATATTAAGATTATAGCTTACTATTCCTTAAACTTTCTAAGATGTATGGGTTTTTTTGAGAGGTAAATTAAAATCCAGTGTATTACAAATTACCAGCCACCTTGCTATAGTCAATCTGAAATAACCCTGAATCTCCCACATGACCATGGGTTGAAGGATGGGTTTCTAACCCTTGGTGCTCTTTGGAGGAGGTGGAATGTTTAAAAGATGAAAACCCCCTGGGGGAGGTCACTGGTGCATGCCCGGAAGGGAACGTCGGTCCTCACCCTTCCCTATCTCTGTTTTCTGGCTGCTGTGAGGTGAGCAGTTTCCTTGGCTATGTGTTCCTCACCTTACAGGCAACGGGGTCAAGAGACCATGAACTAAAATCTCTCAAACCATGATCCAAAAAAATCCTGCCCCTTATTATCTCAGGCCTTGTGTCACAGCAAGAGAAAGCTGACCCCCCCGCCCCCCCACCTCCGCAAATGACTAGCTCAACAATAAGCCCATAAGTGTTTGCTGCATGAAAAGTATAATTCACAGAAAAATCCCAAGTTCCATGGGCTGTTTCCATGTTTGTGTCCAAATTCCCAATGTCTGGCACAGTACCTAGCATACACAACGCAGAAAGCGCTCAATTATTAGATCAACAACGTATACCTAGTCCCCTTCCACTCCGCCCCAGCGGGACAGGTGGCAGGGGAGATCCGAGAGCTGACTGCAGCGGCAGCGTGGACATTACCAGGAGAACCCATCTGCTCTCTGCTGAACAGGGAGGCAGGGAAGCAAGGGCACAGGTTCTTGCTCCCAAAATCTGCAATTTTCCAGGAGATGGAGGGCGGATGGGGGAGAGGAGGTAAAAAGAATGAGGCTGTGTCATGTGCACGTGCCGACTCCCCACCAGAAACGTGATCACCATGGACTAATAAAATTTTTTAAAACCTCAAATCTGTAATTTTGATATAACCTGATACTTTTTAAAAATCAGAATAGGGTTGCTCACTGCAGTGGCAGCTCCACGAGGATTGGAACGTTCCCCTGGGCCCACTGCATCCCGTACCCCCACCCTGCACAGGCGCGCGGGTGTTTGTTGAATGCATTTGTGCGAAACCGCTTGAAGCAACACACAAGTGTGCAAGAGAGCGCGGCACGCAGTTCGCCCTCGGCGAATCGGCAGGCGCTCAGGCCTCCCAGCCGCTTCCGGGGAAAGCCTCGGGTTCCGACTGACCAGCCATGGGACACAGGCCAAATACTTAACCTGCTGGCTCCCTTTGCGGGAGTCAGGGGTTGGTGGTAACACGGGAACCCCTGGCCGGCGTGCAGCCCGCCTGCACAGGATCCCGGCTTCCCGTGGACACACAGCGCTGCCTCCCTGGACCACACTAGGGCGGCCGAGGCAGGAAGGTGTCAACTTCCGAGACCGGAACCGCTAGCCGCGACCCGAGCGTATCCAGCCGGGCTTGACAGCTCCCACTAAAGGGGGCCGTTCCCAACCAGCCGCAGCCAGTCAGCCTGGCCAAGCCTAGCGCAGGACGGCAGACGGCCACGGGATCAGCGCCCAGGCACAGCCAACGCTCAGATCCTCCTCCCCGTCTCCCGGCCTGCCGCAGGCGGTCCCCCGACTCAGCGTCTGTTCTCGCGGGACCACAGTTCCCAGCATGCCGTTGGGGGGAAGTCGTTCCCTCTGGGTGACTACCAATCCCGGCATGCTGCACGGCACCCCATCCGTTAGGCGGCAACGCGGAGGAGCCGCGTTGCATGCAGGGTTATGTAGTCCGCTCCGGCTCGGGCCCGCAGGTGGGCGGGGCAGAGCCGGGTGGTTCGCGTCCGCTGAGGAGAATGATTCACAGAGGAGGGTTGGGAGGCAGCAGCTGGGTCCGCGAAAACCCTCTTGGAAGCCTGGACTCTGCTTCTCCGAGGCCGGGAGCGGGGGAGAAGCGCGCGCGGCCGCGGGCCTGACGCCGCCTCGCGGGCCCGCCGCGAGCCGGGCCTCCAGGAGCCGGGACGGCCGCGAGCGCCGGCGGCCGGGAGCGGTGACGTCGCGGGGTGAAAGTTGAGGGGCGGTGACGTCTGGCCGGCCGGGCGGAGGCTGGCGGGCTGAGCCCGAGGGAGGGAGGGAAGGAGGGAAGGAAGGAAGCTGGGAAGGAGCGAGCGAGCGGGGGCGCGAGGCGTTCACCTGGAGGCAGCGCTCGGGCGCGCGGGCGGCCGCGGCTCCCGCACCTGCGGCCATGGACGAGGAGCGCGCGCTGGGCATCGTCCGCGCCGGCGAGGCGGGCGCTATCGAGCGGGTCCTGCGGGACTACAGCGACAAGGTAACGCGCTCCGGCCGCGGGCGCGCGCCGCCGCCCCCGGGCCGCCGCCGGGCTTGCCCCGCGCATCCCTCCCCGCCCCCCGCATTCCGGGGATGCGCACCGCTCTCCCCCGAAAACGTGTCCGGCGTGGGCATGCGTGTTCGTGCCCCCTGCCTGCTCCCGCTGCAGCCTGCGGCCCCCTGCCCCCACCGTGGCGCCCACTCCTCAGGTCCGGCCCAGCGTCCTGTCCCGCGGTCCTCTTCCCAGGCGCTCCTGTCACACCCCCAGAATCCTTCCATAGACGCGCCTCTGTGTCAGCGCCCGGCTCCTGGATGCGTAAATGCACGCGGGAGCCTCCCTCACCTGTATACCATGAAAATACGAGCTCGCCTGTGTAAACACGGCCGTTGACATGCATAAAACATGCCAGCAGCGACGGCAGTTCCTTATCTACCTGTGCATTGTCTCATCTGTGGTCTCTTTGGATCCTCAGTGTTTATAGAGTAGATGGTGTCAGCCTTCCCATTTTGCAGGTGAGGAAACCAAGGTCTTCCTCGCTCCCCCCCCCAAAAAAAAAGAACTGAAATGACGCCCAAGGTCATGGACATACTGTGTTGTAAGTGAGCAGGGACCCTAACTCCTCATAACACTTGCTATGTGTATTGCATTGATTCCTTTCCTATTCATTATCTCATTTAATCTAGACAACAATCCTGTGAGGTATTATCTGTGTTTCGCAATTGAGACTCCAGATGAGTTAAGTAACTTGCCCAAGGTCACATTTGGGAGCCAGGATTCCAGACTGGTCTTCACTCTGTCCATTCACTGTTCTTTCCACGTTCCAGTTCCAGTTCCAGTGAAGCGGTGTCTTGTATGAACCCCAGGCGCTTCTCTGAGTGTCTGAGAAACGTTAGCTGTCCTTTGCTTGACATTCCAGGAATTTTACTTGTCCGCTTTAAGAGGTCCGGTACCACACCTTCCTGCTGTTTAGAAGCTGTTATATAGGAATGACTGCCGACTCCCTTCTGTGAAAACACACTCTGTAACAAGTCACGGCTTAGATGTGACATTGTCCTTTTTATGTGTTTCACATACAGAACTTTGTGTTATTGAACTGTCAGTTTGCTACCTCCAGTCAATGAAAGATGAAGCTAAAATTTGAATCTAGGATGTCCAAATCAAAGTCTAACGCCCTTATGCCACTTTCCTGGGAAGGATGCCTGGGCATTCTTCATACTGCGGCCAGTCCACTTTCTGATGTGCTTTACACGGAGGAACTCATTTAATGTGTAGGTGTATATGTTGCATAGATTGTATTTTTTAACTTGATTTATTATTGCTTTTCAGAAAAGATAATGAGGTAAGGTAGTTACAAACTTATTTTGAAAAGAAAGGAGCATAATACACAACTTGGCCATTATTTTGAAACACTTAATGTTTATTTAGCACTTACTATGCACCAAATATCTGGCAGTAGTCTTTCTTCTATAGAGGAAAGGAGAGGAATGATCTCCAATTGGATCTTAACCATCTCCTTCAATATTTCTCTTTTCCTTTGGGCATGAATTAATTAGACCCCAGATTTGCCTTCTCTAATGTGTTTCTTCTTCCTTCATCTCTCTCCAGGTTGATTCCCACTTACTGGTCCTACTCCTGGCCAGATATTAGCGGAGCTTAAGTCCTGGACTTCTCCAGCTCCCCCTTTCCCTGTCGGAAATGTTTCTGAAGAGATTATGCCTGTTGTGTATTACGGTGCTATTCCAAAGTGCTTTGGAGGAATCCCAAACCCTTGCACTGTACGACCAAGCCAAGGGAGGGAATGTTCTGACTTGATATTCAGAAGAAAGCGCGCATGGTGTTGCTGTAGGACCCATACCATAGGGCCAGATATGGTGCAAAGAAAATAGCCGAGCTTTGTGTCACAGTGAGGTTTTGTCCCTCAAAGGAAGAGGCTTTGGGACAGATGAATCGGGACAGGAAATATGCTAACAGTGGTCAGGCAGTAAGCATAGGGAAGTGGGATTAAATTGCCCAGATCCGCCGTGCATGGAGTTGGACAACTGCATTAGTTGCGGAAAATGTGTGCCTCATCTGGGTTCCTCATCTGGTGAGGTGGATGTGAAAAGTGTTGGAGTAAGAAGGATTGTGGGGCATCGAGGAGCCCAAGCACAAGAGGAATGGATAATGGAGGCAAAGAGCGATGTGTTCATTGTTTGGAATGAGGAGGGGAGACTCCTCTTTCTAATTCTGGCTCCGCTGTTAGTTTCACCACTAATCCTCTGAGTCTCAGTTGCCTGATCTGTAAGATAGGGGTAATAACCATTTTCTTAATGTGCTGTGAGGCTAAAGTTAACGAAACATGACCCTAGACACTGAGCACTGTGCACCTAGGAAGTGGTCCCTCAGTGTGTTAGAAGTGTAGGGACCAAGGGACTCCAGAGCTTGGGTGGGCAGAGAACGTGCTCTGGAGCCAGACTGCCCGGTTATTGATCCTCGGTTTATGATCTGAGGGGCCCTGGACAGTTAACTTCGCTCTGCCTTAGTTTCCTCATCTGCCAGCTGAGGGTAACAAGCACGTTTTTGTCCTGTGTTGCTGTCAGGATTAAGTGTGAGATGTGTGTAGCAGTTAGGGGTCTGCTGCTGAAGAAGGAACCTGCTAAGGCAGGAGCCACGCACGGCGCAGAGTTGACTGTAAAAAGTGAGGAGCTGGGGAGCAGCCTTGCTTCTGTCCCTTTGCCAGGTGCCCACCGCGAGTGCAGGCTCAGAGCCGCAGTTCCTGTTTGATGCCCAGGAGCGCCTCACCTCTGCGGGGCTCTGCCTTCTGGGTGTTCTTGCTTCATTCACTCACCCTTGCCGTCCTGAGGAGGAGGAGGAGCTCTCTGTCCCACAAAGAATGGCATGTATCTATTCTCCAGGTGTAACTAGTTGACTAGGTAGGAAAGGTTTGGTTTGGTTTTGCTCTTCACTCCTTCTAATTTATCTATTAATATTTATTGAGTGCCTGCAGTATATCAGGTATTATCCTAAGAATTTTACATCATCACATATAATCTTACGTCAGAAATCCTAAAGGAGAGCTGAGTGTGACAGCGTACGCCGGTAATCCCAGCACTTGGGAGACTGAGACAAGAAGAGTCCTGGAGTTTGAGGCCAGCTGGAGCTACATAGTGAGCCTCGTCTCAACAAAAAAGAGAAAAAGAAAAAGAAAGCTATCAGGGAGATAGGTTTTTGTGCTATTTTAAAAATAGGATTGATGTTGGGGATAAATTGACTGGATGTGGGCTCAAGAGCCCACTTGTTAGAAGGTAGCAGATCTGATTTTCATACTGTAGACTCTGCAGGGCCGTAAAGCCTTTCCCCCTTTGGTTCTGTTTTTGTCTTTTTTTGGTACTGGGTCTCGGACTGAAGGCCTCACCCTTGACAGGTGGATGCCGTGCTGCTGAGCGATAGCCTCGCTGGCTCCGTTTTTGAACACAGAGGAGAAAGCTGCTTCAGAAGCCGTGTGTTACTGCTTCCCGTGACTGCTGCTGAGCCCTGATTCCTTTCCCTTAGTTACAGAAAGCGCTGTTCGCTTGGGAAGTTATACTGTTCTGGCTTAGGCTCTGCAAGCCCCTGCTCTCCTTGAAGTTCCGGGTTTCAATACCAGGTTTGGTATTCAAATGCCAGGCTTAGAAGAGAGATGGGCTGCTGTCACTATCATGATTACCAGCGCGATTATCAACAGAAATTAGAAACTGAGGCCTGGAGGGACCAGAGTATCTGGATTCCTTGATTCATAGAATTTCTTTCCTTTCTTTGTTTCTTTTTTCTTTCTTTAGTGCTAACAGTTGAACCTAGGGTCTCACACGCACTAAGAATGTGTTCTGTTGGCGAGCTACACCCTGAGTCTGGGTCATACGGCCTGGAAGGAACCCCAGAAGTAACGGAGCCCACTGTGCCCAGCACTTTCTGTTTCTGGGACTTGAGTTCTCAGTTCACCCTGGGTCTGCAGAGGAGCGTGTTTAATGGACAGTTCCTTTGTTACACCTCGTTTTTATTTTCAGATTGGTTACATAATCCGTCACCTGTTTTTAGTTCTCGGAGTAATCTGTGTTCCTGGAGCGCAGTGCCGCACACACCACCCTAGTCAGGTGTGCCGCCTGAGTACATCTTTAGAAATCTAGGGGATACCTCCTGGCTCTCTAATAGCGCGGCTGCATGGTGACAACAGCAGTGGCGGTTGAGTGAGCACCTGCCGGGTGCGGGATGCCGCACGGAAGGGTCAAGGGAGCTCTGAGCGGAGGTAGAGCTGGACACTTTGACCAAGGGTATGCTTACCAAGCAGCAGGACTGGCCTCACACTCACAGGTGTCTGCTGCCTGAACTGCTTGGAACCCCCTCATGGGGGGGGGGGGACTGGGAGTCCTCAGGTGCATCTGAGCGGCTCTTGCTTGGTATCTGGCTGCAGCAGTGGTTTTAGTCTGCGGTCTGCATCTGGTGTGCTGCTCCTGCCCTTTGGGTATTGTAAGGAAGGTGAGGTGGTGGCTTGTTGGTGACAGCTCCAGCAAGGCACTTACAGCTCGAACGCCTGGTCCCTTGCTCTTTGGGTTTTAGGAGAGGACAAATAGAGGTTAGTGGTGCTGAATATGATCTACATGGTGTTGGACAGGTGAGCCTATAAACCGGCATCTGTTAAATCCGAATAGTCTTAGAGGAGTGAGCTTCTGAGTAGGGTGTTACCCTAAGAGTCCAGTTCCTAGTGCCTCACACAGCAGCATGTTTTCTCATTGAGCCTTCGTGCAGGTCAGACAGTGCTTTCCAAAATTTAAAAAAAAAGTTCTGGTTTATGACAGAATCAGCTTTGCATTTAAACAGCAGCAGCAGAATAACCCTCAGTGCTATTCTAAATTTCACCTGAAAAATTACTTCTATGTCAAAACTGCTTAGAAGAGATCTTTATGACTGACTTGGTTTGTTTTTTTTCTGTTTTATTCCCGTAAATGTCCTCCCCCCAATGCTGAAGACAGCTATTAAGCACATGTATTTTAGATGATGTACAGGATCCATATTTTATGTAGAAGAGCAAAAAATGAGCTTCCTTGGTTTCTAAGTACAGTTATTTATTTACATTTGTATCAGACTTTTACTGAGCTTCCATTTACAATTTTAGCTTGACGTTTGGCATTTCCATATCTTTAAAGGTAGTTTTTACTAAATCTCGGGTCTATAAATTTATACGCCTGTCCCTTGGATTTAGAACATATCCTTCCTTTCTTGCTGATTTCCTTTCTTGTTCATTCTTTTAAAAAAATTTTATTACAAAAATAACTTACCTGCAGTCAGTCAGCTTTTGCTTCCTAGCATTTTGTTGAGTTGATACATGTTTAATAGGATATTGTTACTTGCACAACATTCCACAAGGCTCTTGGTGGATATTCATCCTGCCTCTTTCCTTTCATCCTGATGGATAACTGCAGTGAACATGCTTATATACATAATTTTTCTGTGCTTCTGATGATCTCATTAGGATAAATTCCTAAGAGCAGCAGTTCTGGGTCAGAGGGGGTAAATATTTTTATGACTTCTAAAATGTTTTGTTAAGTCACTTTCCCTTTTAAGGCGTATGTCAATTCACTGCCATACTGCCACCAATAATATCATGCCTGGATGATAAATGCCTATTCCTCAAATGACTATGTGTCCTCAGTCTTGCTCTCCTTAAAGATCTGGCCTATGAGCTCAAAATGCTCTTCCAGAGCAATGTTATGCCTCCCGCATAGTCCTCCCTGGTGGCCCGTCCCCTATCTGTGGTTTCAGGTATGAACTTTTAAATCCCTGCGCTTTGCATCTGATTTTATCCATTTTAATTGGTGAATGTTTGTACTTCAGCCAGCTCCCTGAGGGTTCTCACATGACCCTTTTCTCTCGTCTCTAACAATTCTTGTGCTTAGAACTGCTTCTCTACCAATATTTTCCCATTTAATTTCAAAAATTGCTTCTTGAAAGCTGCCAAATACAGAAGCACCTGTAGTGATGCTATCTGTACTGAACTCCTAGTGTGTTGCCAGTACCTGTTTGTAGTGCGACCAGTGAGAGAAATACAAAGTAAAATAGGGAGTTCCAAAGAGTGCGTGGTCTCCTGGTCGCCCTTCGCAGAGAGTGAAAATTCTGCCCTCCAGGTTTTGAGTGTCACTGCTGTTTTGTGGATAGGGCTGGTTAGTCTGTCTTCCCTTCTTCAGCTACGAAGCAGGAATACAGTGTTCCTAATCATTTCAGGAGCGTCACAACACTCCCTGTCCACTTACGTCACCGTCGTCATCATGTCACCCCTGGTGGTTACTGAGTGTTTCGTGTGTGCCAGGCACTGAGGTGGTGCTTCGGGAGCCGTAGTTCTTTGAACCCTTACACTCACGCTGTAAAGTCAGTACTTACCCCTATTTCCCGGTGAGATGCCCAGCCACAGGGGCTGCTCACGGTCACAGCTAGTAAGTGATGGAACCCTGATTCAGACTGTTGTTCTTGCAGGCTTCCTTTTCTAAAATATCAAGTCTTCCCTGCATATAGTCATTTGATGCTTTCTTATTGCATATGAAAAAGAAAATGTAAATTCAGCCACACTGGAAGGCTTCGGAATCTGTCCCGACTGCTTTTTCGTTCTCTTCTTCTTCCACGCCTCCGTCCCCTGACATGTCTCCCACGCTCCCACACGCCCAGAGCTGGTGGCTTCGTGCCTGGATCATCCAGGCTCACACATCTGAACCTTGGTGTTTGCCCCTAAGAATGCTTTCCCCTTGCCTCTTCACAATTTTCTGTTTGTCCCTCCAAGTCCAGCTCAGGTGCTCTGTACTCTGTGCAAAGTATTCCAGATTTCCCTGGGCAGTTAATGGTGTGGTTCAGTAAGCTTCTTTTTATATATTTCTGTGGTACGTTTTTCACACTTCTTCATAATTGTTTGATTACATGCTTATCTCTTTAATAAGAATATTGAGGTGTGGAAAGTAACATTTTTATGAGGATACTGTTTAATGCATTTTTAAACATAATAGAATTTAAAATTTGTGTATTTAAATGATGATGTTCCCTTTTTTCCCCCCCAGCATAGGGCTACCTTCAAGTTTGAGTCAACAGATGAAGATAAAAGAAAGGTAAGCCTCGGTGTTACTCGTGTGTGCGCGTGCGCGTGTGTGTGCACAGAAGTGTGCGTGTGCCGTTCATTGCTGGACTTTGTAAGTGGTGGATTTCTTTTCGTTGAACATTGTTGGGTTTGCTTTTGGTTTTGCTTCAGCTTGTTTTTAGTTATCCTGAGAGTACAGACAGGTGCAGAGGTTGGCGTGGTCCTCCCTCCAGGCCTGCTCGGTCTCCACGGGACCATTACACTTGTGTGAGTCAGAGGAGTGGAGGGGCTCACAAGGGGTTTGTCCCCACATTTTCTCACTGCAAGAAGTTGCTTTTGTCTGGTGGCAGGACTCCAGGTTGCCTCGGGTTGCTAATGCCAGGTTTGCTAGTGTGAGTTACATCTTGGGAAAGCAGCTGTTCCTGCTGCCGTCCCTCGAGTCCGCGTCCTTGCCTGTGCTGGACGTTCTGTGCATTATGAGTGGCTGTCCGGACACTGAGTTCACCAACAGAGAGCAGAACAGAGGCGAGAGACCCACACCCAGGCATTGCTGTGAGCGAGAGCAGCGGACGTGGCACCACCTGGGCCTGCCTGCCTGCTGGCCTTGCCCGTGGCTGCCTTACTGCTAGGTAAAGTGTGATGCTAATGGATATAAGCTCACCGGTTCTGCCTCTGTTTTGCTGGGCTCCATACATCTGTCCTGGTCTCAAATGTCAGGAACAGAGAGGACAGTAAGGTGGAATCAGTGTAAATCTGTGACTGCTGCTGGAAAAACATAGTCGAGGGGCTGGGGATTTAGCTCAGTGGCATAAGCACCTGCCTGGCAAGCGCGAGGTCATGAGTTCGATCCCTGGTACCGCCAAAAAAAAAAAAGTTGAAATCCAGTACTTTGTTGTTGGCAGCTCGATAACACCTTGAAATCAAGCTGTCGTTCACCTCTGTCCCAATGTCTGATATCTGTCTGCCTCACTTTCCCTCCCTAGGTTTCTTGAGTTCAGTCTCAACTTACTCTGTCCTGTTTCACACCTTCTCGGGATTACTACATCACTTTTCTCCTCCCCTTCCTTTCTTCTTTCTTCCTTTGTTTTTCCTCTCTCTCTGTCTCTCCTCTTTGTAGTCCTAGAGATGGACCCCGTGGGTGCTCTGCTCCTGATCCACTCTGACATTCTCAGCCACTTTAGTCTTGCTTTGAGACAGGTTGGTTAGGGTGCATGGTCTGGTCTCAGACTCGGGCTCCTCGTGTTTCTACCTGCTCTTTCCTTTTCGTTTCGTGGCCTCCCAGTTGACTGTCCATGGGTCTACTGCAGCAGCTGACCGTGTCATTACCAGCTGTGAAACCCTTTAGTGACCTTGTTCACGTACAAAATAGAGTTCAAACCTTTTAAGGTGACACACTTAATGTTCAGTGAGCTGACCTTCGCCTACTTTGTAGCCTTTTTGTGCTCTTTCCTTGTGTTTTATGTTCTAGCAACATAAAATACCCTTTTTGTTTCTTCCTGCTTCCTTTTGCATGTATTCTTTTCAATCCCTCTTCTCCTTCTGCCTGGTTAATGCCTCCACTCCGCAGGCACACCCTTCAGCAGTGTTCTAGGCACTCCAGACTCCTGCCGACAGGCACTGTTAAGAACCTTCCTCCTTGATGTCTAGAGTGCCCAGCATAGAAAGATGCACAAGTATTTATGGGATAAGAACTTCAGAGATTAAAGGAGACTTGCTTTTGGATTGGAATAATGTAAATAAGGCAAAGAATAATGTTAGGATAGGAATTCGCAGTGGAGAATGGACTGTTTAGGTAGTTTTTCAAGGTAGGCCTGCTCATGCCCAATCCTTACCTACTGAATCAGAATCTGGGGAGTGGGCTCCCGTTCCGTGGGAGTGCAAAGTGGCATGTCCCTATGGAAGAGAACTTAACAGTATGTATTAAAATTCCAGATATCGGGGCTGGGGATTTAGCTCAGCGGCATAAGTGCCTGCCTTGCAAGCAGGCAGTCATGAGTTCGATCCCTGGTACCGATGAAAAGGAAAAAGACAAAAAAAAAAAAAAGCAACTCCAAATGTCTTTTCTTTTTTTATTAAACAATATCACTTTTAGAAATCTGGTCTGTGTATATATTGAGCCCAAGTAAACCGTGAAACATTGCACATAATAGCAAAGACAGGAACTAACGGTATGTCTCGCAGTCAGAGAACATTTGATGGAATGATGGCGTATTTGTGTCATGGAATACTGTGATACAATACAGTAAACAGAAAACCCCGTTACCTACTAACGGATGAGTGCAGTGAGAAGAAGGGAGTGAGTGTTCCGAGGAGTGTTGTGTAGCACGCTCCTGAAGGGATCCTGGCGAGGCGGCAGCTGCTGCTCGTTCATCCTGCGTCTGTAGACTCACAGCGTCCTACGACTGTCACTTGGGAGACTTTGGTTGGCTATCACTCGTCAGAGTAAGTGTGTAAAAAAGTGTTTCTTCCACCCCTATACATTTTAGTTGAGGAGAAATTTCTTACACAGTTGTTGATATAGAATGCAGCTTATTTCCTGTGGGCAGTAGGAAGCCATGACGTTTTCCCGTGTGCAGTGTTCTTGGCCCTCAACGTGTCTGTGCGGTTGGTTTCAGAGCACCCTCCCTGCAGGGCTCCACGTCCCTTATATAAATAGGTGCGGCGTTTGCATAGAACCTGTCCGTAGCCTCCCATGTGCTTTCAGTCATCTCTAGGTTGTTTGTAATGGCCAGTACAATGGAAATGGTATGGAAATAGTCGTTAGACAGTACTGTTTAGGGAAATAAGTCTGTCCTTATTCTATAAGATACATTTTTTTCTTTTCTTTTTGATCTGCAGGGTGGTTAAGTCCTCAGGTATGGTGACTGTTAGACCTCTGGAGAGGGTAGCTTTACTAGTGGTTACTTCAGTTACAGTGTGGAGATTTCTGCTTCTTGGGAGGTCTGTTATAAACAAGTGTCATTAGGGACCTGGCTCAGTAATCCTCATTAATGGAAAAACAATGACAAACAAATCCATTTAAGTCTCTAAGGGTTAAACCATTAGTGACTCTTTTATGCCGAAAGGCTCTTTTTAGACTCTGATCCAAAACTACTGGACAGCTCGAAAGGGTACACATCCTAAAAGCATTTTAAGTTCTCAACATAGAGACACATGGAGTCAGTATTGACACTTCTGCTCGTTAAACCCAATTAAAAATCAAAAGAATTCAGATTAACACACAAAGTCTTTGGCTCTTCTAGTTCTTTTTTCCTTCCTAAATATGTTTCTGGTGCCTTCTACCAGGGATTCTTGGTAACAGCAGCACTGTTGTGTAGTGGAGCTCTCTGAGAAACATAGTAGCAACTTTCTTATATAAAACAATCTGTGACAGTTTAGAAGCAGCATAAGGAAGTGATGTCCTTTCAGAAGTAAGTTGATGATATTGAGCCTTTCAAGATATGGCTGTGAATAAATGATCTTTAGACCTAGTTACTGGTACTACTGTAGTGCTTTGTATGTTTTACAGAGATTCACTTCTCACTACTAGTACATTAATGTGGTAGAACATCACTATTCCGATTTTATGCATAAGAAAACAGAAGCTCATGTGAACGGTAGCTTCTTAACACCAGTAGCGAGCAGTGGAGCTTCAAATAGAAAACAGATTTTTTGACTGTCCGGTGTGTGGAACTCGCATTGCTCACTGCTCTGTAGCTCCCTCTTATTACCATTTGTGGTATAGTTCAGAAGACTTGTAGTTAGGATGCAGTACCTTGTTTTATCTCCTTGTTTTTTACCTTTAGACACTAGTCCAGCAAATTCATTTAAATTGGAAGATATTGCAACTGGTAATGTTTATTTCTTCTGAAGAAGTAAAGTTAAGACTGAAGCATGAAGATCACAAGTTTGAGCCTAGCCTAGGCAACTTGGCAACTTAGTGAGACTTGCAAAATAAAATCAAATTGAAAAATGATCTAGGGAGGCAGCTCAGTGCGAAGACCTAAGTTTCATCCTCAGTACTAGGGTGGGGGAGAGAATACAGCTTCTAGTGTTCATGCATATAATGCAGATAGTTCCAGATTCGTGTAGTCCTTGTATATTTGGATGTAAACTCCTGTGCTTATTAAAGCATTGGCTTTCCATCCTCTGCTAAATTGATAGGCTGAGATGAGCTGGCAGCACATAAACAAATGTATCATGCAGAAGCATGCACTGGGGGTGAGTTGTTCTCTGGTAGAACGCTTGCATGCACGAGGCCCTGGGCTCCATTTCCAGTACCACCCTCTCCCCCCAAAAAAGTAGAATGAGGGAGGGGAAATGAATAATGTAAAAACTCACATCTTTGGTAAGTAAAAACTCTTACATTGGTTTTAAAAATAAAATATTCCTGAAATCCAGTAAAGAGGGGATTCACGTTAGTCACTAGAGATCTTAGTGAGTTCAGAGGGAAAGCAAAATAAATTTGCACGCTTGCTGACCCATCACAGAAAAAGAATTTTCAGGACATGTCACTTAGGGGCAAGAGAAGGGTTTATTAGGATGGGGATTTAGGATGCACACAGGAGTAGGGTGTGGATGCTCAGAGAAATGAGCTGCATTACAGCCGCCCTTAGGAATGGTGTGTTCCCCTCAGTGCATCCAGTTACAGAGGGCAAGGTTAGAGAGATCCGGGATTAAATCATTCTGAAGTGGTCCTGCTCCCTAGAGTCAAGAAAGGAAAGAGGAGCTCAACCCTCGACCAAAGGTTCAGATTTCTAAGTAAAAATTCAAGGCAGCTCCAGAAGACACTGAGGACAGAGGATCTCTATTACTGGATTTTCCTGAAGCAGAGGAAGATGACACAGGCCCAGCAGTCACTGGCACTGTGGATGCGGCTGTGAGGTGCACCTGGGAGGAGTGGCAGCTCCTGGGCCCTGGACCGGGACGTGATGCTAAGAACCGCAGCATCTGGGTGACAGTGAGTGAGGACAGCTGCCCTGGTCACTTGGAGGGTGCCTCATCAGTGGTCTTTCCTGTCTCAGCTTCTGGAAGCTTTAAGCCAGCAGGCCA